AACCCCCGCGACTGCAGTTTGATATCGATCCCCAAAGACTTTAGGACCAGGGGCTGCCCAACCTTGTCGATCGCGAGTTGTGGTCTAAAAATAGAAACACAATATTTCTGTTATTATCTTTAATGCCGCTTAACCTAAATGCTTCCTGCCTGCCAAAATAATGCCCCCACTTGAACGCATTTCAAAGCTTTTCGTGATTGGCCGGCGTGACCCCATGTGGTCGGCGCGGCTGAGGTGCGGCAATGCGGCACTAGTTCGCTGACATGTGGGTGTCAACAGGGAGCTTGCCCCCCCACCCCCCCCCCCCCCCCCCCCCCCCCCCTGGAGTGGCCGTACACGCCGAATTACCGCCAATTTATGGCGCAGAAGCAAAAAGCCCAAAATATATAATTTTCACTCCGATGTGGAGGGATGATTATTTTTTCGGGTAATCTATTCCAATTCAAAGCTCCATCTGTCTAATCTGCCAAGCGAGCTGTGGCTTTATCGAAGAAGGGTAATTTAGCGGAGCGGCATTTTCAAAACAGGTGCACAAATGCCCTACGAGACGCGAATTCCCTTCTAATTTCTGCCCCGACGGCTCCCAAAAAGGGGAGGCGACCCTGAAAGCGACAGCTAAAAAGCCAAGCAGCCCATTTTCACCAGGGGCCCAACACAAGAGCAGCGCTGCCTAGTCTAGTGATGGGGATTTATGGCCTCTTTGAAGGCGAGCCGGATCTTATGGCTCCGTTTCCTTTCAAAGAGCCGCTTCAAAAGAGCGTTTTTTTAAAGGCGGGGGGCGGATTACGCTTAGGTTTATCTGGCGAAATAATCACAGGATAATGACTGACTGCTATTGTCAGACCTAATGTCGATAATGCTGCATTGGTAAACATGACAAAAGGCTGGCACCATGATTCCATGTTCAGTGAATGTATTTTGAATGCTAGCCTCCAGCATCAACTGCGTTTTCGCGTTTGCGCTCAAAAAAAAAAAACAAAAAAATTTTCCAAATCCAGAAAAACACTAATATGTTATCTGTCCTGACCACTTGCTTAAATTGACTTCTCTCTCTTCGTGTATTCCGTTAAGACCCACCCCACTCTCACTCTCGTGGCCGAACACTGGGTGTTCACATCTCCGAATCGAACTAAACGCGGTATTGTTGGAGCTCGCCCCCCTCCTGTCGAGCCCAGTGTGCCCTCTGATTTGGTGCAAGCGAGTGCAACTGCTCGCGGCAGGAGCCTGCTGTGAGAGCAGGACAGCGGTTTCCGGTGTCGAAGATAGATACAGTTCAGAGGGCCGAAGGGTGGAATTGGGACGGTGAACAAAAAAACAGATGCCATCTTTCTGACTATTTGTTCTAGGAGGTGGGGGGATGTAATTCACAGAATACGTTTTTTGGGGAACAAAATCAAGCTTTTTAAAAGGCTAGTGGATTTTGGCAGGCAGTGAGTGCGGACAAACGATTGAACGATAACAAGAACGGCTCTCACCAAGTACGACTCGGTTCCCCTCGTTCATATCAAAGAGCCGTTCAAAAGAATCGGCTCGTTCGCGACCGACACATCACTACATAGCATCTTATCGTGTCAGTCACGTTCTTGCGAAACACATGAAGTCTTTCAAAGACGGCGAAGTTGTGAAAGAAGCATGGAGGCTGCCGAAGCGCTTTTTGGGGACAGTAAAAATAACAGTAGCATTTCAACAGGTTTTTGATATAATAAAAACTCAAGTTAGATACCGTTATTAATCAGCTGTAAGTTTTAGTTTGTTTAAACTTATTCATTATGATTATTGTACACAATGGTATAAGAATGCAAACATTAAGATCTGTTCTGTTTAAATTGATTATAGTCTATTATCAATTCAGGTTAAGAAACTAGTGTTGCTTGCATCCTATTTTAAAGGCATTTCTTGTTATACTCTACTGAAATGCAACAAAAAAAGGGTTTGATTCTATTAATTTTGTCTTTTTTATTGCACTTTGGCAGAAGATTCCTGTGTAGCTTCAGATCTGAGTTGTCTTATTAGTAAGCCTAATTTATACTTTTGTAGCAACACTATTTTTAAATAATGGCAAAGAAAGGGTTCAGAGTCTTTTCTTTGTTTCCTGTGTCATATGTGGGAGCACTGTTCAATGTCTCTTGAAAACATTACCCACTGTAGTATGTGACGTGTGAATACACTCCAACTCTGTATCAACAACACTGTTGTGTAACTTCAGTTAAATACTTGTATGTGTGTAGATTAGAAAAAATTAAGATAAAGGATCTGCAGTATTTTATGAAGTATTAATCGTACAAAGGTCAGTTTTATACAAGTAGAAGTGTGTATTTACCTGGAGGCTGTCAGTAATGGCTACACCTCTCTATTTGGACTGGTAGATCTCGGCAGACTGGCAACTTTAAAAGTAGCTCTCGGTTCAAAAAAGGTTGGGCACCCCTGCCGTAGAGGATGCTATTGCGGTAGTCAAGTCGTGATGGGATGAATGCATGAATCAGGGTTTCAGCAGCAGAGGAGGAGAGTGATGCGCGGAGACGGGCAATGTTTTTGAGGTGGAAAAAGGCGGTCCTGGTGATGTGATTTATGTGGTGTTTGACTTTGAGCTGACTGTCGAAGATGACTCCGAGGTTGCTGATGTGAGGGGGGGAGATAGAGTGTGGCTGTCAATGGTGAAGTTGAAATTCTGGATGGCTTTGGTATGGGATGGGGGGCCGATGATGATGATGTCTGATTTGGCACTGTTCAGTTGGAGATTGTTTGTTTGCATCCATGCTTTTATTTCTGAGAGACAGTTGGTGAGAGTGGAGTGTGTTGTGGGGGTGATGGTTTTTGTTGAGATATAAAGTTGGATATCATCGGCGTAACAGTGAAATTGAAGGTTGTGGCGACGAATGATTCTGCCAAGGGGGAGCATGTAGAGGATGAAGAGGCATGGCCGTATCCACCATTGAGGTCACCGAGGTCCGGACCTCGGTAATATTTTTCGAGCTGTGTATACCAAAACTTGTGAAATAATTGCACTAAACGGGGTTCTTTGTAGTACTTCCATTTACTGACGATGGGGGCGCTGCATAACTACGCAGCCTCGATTAAAGCAAAGAAGAAGACGAAATGTATCAACAAACCACCGTAGCCCGTAGATGTATCGGAACAGCGGAGGAGTGATGAAGTATCTAGAGATCTGAGTCCAGCGGAGGAGTGATGAGGTATCTAGAGATCTGAGTCCAGCGGAGGAGTGATG